TTAATAAAATTTAACCCATGTCACTTTCCCTCCTCTTTCTCAAGGGTTAACTTCATTTTCCATGTAAGCAGCTTCATTGTCCCAGGAAGCAGAGTTATAGGCCATTTTTTATAGGACAATAATTCAAAGATAAATTCATTATATGTTATTTAAATTATTGATTTTATTTACTTATTTATAATATGTGTTATTAAATATATTTATTCTTTTAATAATATGTAAAAATGATATAAAAAAAAATCATGCAAAAAATTATCTTTATATCACTATATTTTTTATAAGCCAGCAAGTTATCCGAGTCCTACAGACAAAATCCATTTGCAAAGTCAGCTTTGACATCCACTAAATCCTTTAATAGTAAGATTGAGAAAGTAATATCTGTTATTAAAAATTTTTAAAAAGTACATGGTACCTTCCATTAATTCACAAAAAAAGATGATATCCTTCAAAAATTATATACTTACATATACAAAATCTCGTCATGATATATATCATTACATAACAAATAATAGTTTTATTTTTTTTAAGTAAATACTAAATTTGATTCCCCACCTATATCATAAATATTGGATATTGTTTCAACAGCATATGAACCAAAAATGATCCCTAGCTTTTTCTAAATCGCCTACACCAAACTTAATCTTACCGTTAGTCCCTTCCTCTAAATCCCTAGTAGAAATCCTAGTTAAAATTTTGTGGGACTCATGAGGACCCTCAGACAAGTAAAAGTTTGTTAAACCTCAAATCTTTGGAATTTTTTTTTTCTTTTGCCAACTTCAAATCTCTGTTTCATTATTTTCTTCTAATTAATAGTCCCATTTCAGGAGCCAGAAGCTATAGATGTTAGGCCTTGGAATTTTATGAGATTTGGATGGGTCCTATAAAATTCCAATTAAGATTTTTATTAAAGACTTAATGGAAGTAACAAACCATAGGATTAGAATTAGTGATTTCCAAAAGTTTGAGACCATTTTTTGTCCAAATTTAAAGTCAGGACTTTATCTAATATTTATACCAAAAAAAAAAATTGAGTATTAAAATTGGTATTTATTCTAATTTTTATGGAAGCTTTTCTTCCATCATAGGAAGAAGCCCGTAAAAGGAATGAAATATCAATGCAAGGAATTAAATCATACTAATTGAGATTAATATAGAATAAATTATATCTCATTATTTATCCTAATTTTTATGGAAGATTTTTCTTCCATCATAGGAAGAGGCCTCTAAAAGGAATGAAATATCAATACAAGGAATTAAATCATACTAACTAAGATTATAACATAGAATAAAATATATCTCACATCCCATATATATATCCTACATTAAACATCACGAAAAGAATATTTTTAAAATTTTTTATATTTTTCATCCCCATGCTTCAACCTAGTGCTTTATGCTCTACAATTAGAAGTAAATGTGCAAATAAGGATGTCAATTTTGTATTGTTTTTATTTAAAGATGTTAACTTTTTCAGTTTTTAAATAATAATATCAACTTTCAACTTTTTCTAAATAAATATGTCAACTTTTAATTTTTTCTATTTGAGAATGTCAACTTTCAACTATTTTTATTTAAGGAGTAATTGGGTGGTGATGCTGATGCAGTTAATGTATTTTTTAGGTTAAATACATAAATTGGTCCTTCAACTTTTATTTTTGAACCAATTCATCCTTGAACTTCAGAAAGTATCGAAAACATCCTTCAACCTCAATTTTCAATACCAATTTCGTCCTTCTATCAGTTATGTGCTGATATAGCTAATTTTTCCGCTAAGTGATTGACTATTTTACATTTTCAATATTAGGTGAAAAATCCATCATGTAAAAGATGATTATGTGGATTTTTT